AAACCTTTTGAAGCTTATTTTTCTGTTTGAAATGTTTTCCTCGTGTCTTTTTTTTTCTGTCTGTAAATGCATGAAAATAAAACGCCCAAGGAGAATGTCTTTTGTGTGCATGTAGGCGTTATTAAATCATTCTATTACTCAATAGCAGGCTGGGGAAAATTTGCAGCAAAATAACAAGCTTGTGTAACTGTTCATAATGCTATTTTGTATTTATTTAAAATATCAACTCTAATGTAATTTCGTCATTAAATCTACTGACGTCAAAGCTTTCAGCTATTTGAAATTTTTAGATTTTCTGTGACGTCATTTGTTATTGTTTCAATTTGTGATTCTGTTGAAGTCACTTTAGCTATGAACATTAGGGGAATCTTGTTATATGCTGAATCTCTTTTGTTTGTAAGTACTTAATAGATTAAGTAAGCATCATATATGGTTCTGTAGACACTTCCTTTATTCATCACATATAAGCAGTAAACAATGAATCAGATAGCGAAGTCAATATCTTTCTCTCTGCAACTCATAAACAATTTGTGTATCTCATCAGAACCCACAGCTAAAATCGCTTCCATGCAAAACATTTCCTCCTGTTTCTCTTGTTGAAAGAAAAACATATCTTCTTTGAGAAACATAACTCCTATTTCTTATTTTGTTTTTTTAACAAGCATAAGTTTAAAAACATCCCAAATTTTTGGCCCTTAGCGTTTGTTTTTGGATGAAATTAAAGGAAAAAGGAAAAGAAAATGGATTGTTTGCGTTTTCTTTTTATATTCAGCGCAAACATTTCGTAAAGACAAAATGTTCAAGGTGAATGGATTCATTTAAGGCGTAAATACTTAGGAAACTTCTAAAAGCACATGACATGATCGAACCCAATGTTAGCAAAGAGAACAGAGTCCGTTACAAAAAAAAATTCAAAATTTTCGCACGGTATTTTTTTTAAAATTTCAAAATAAGAAAGTCCGTTACTTTTTATTTTTTTTAAACTAGCTGTTTTTAAAGCATAAACATTTAAGGAATGCAATTTCATCACAGTGATTATCTTAATTATAAAAACTAGTAAGAATGTTCACTAAAATTACAAATTACTCGAAAAATAATAATTCATAACGAATTTTTTTTAAAAATAAGAACTTCGAAGATTCGATTTTCGAAAAATAAGAACCTCAAAAATTCGAAGTTCGAATAATTAGAACTCAAAAATTTCTGTTTGCTAGCATTGGGATCGAACAATGTGACTGAAGTGTACTTATTCTAAACTCAATGCTAAGTATTGGTTTTATTGACTAATTTGAAATTTGTAAAGGAATTTAAGTCTTTTCTTATATTGTAATGCTTCCGGATGTGTGGGAAGTTTCCGAAAGTTCCCTAACTAGTGTGTACGCATTGGATTTAACATTTTTTCATACGAATTTTCTCCAAGCTTAAAGTTTATTGTTGTTTTGTTTAGAAATTCTCCAGAAAAAGGATAAGACGTACTTGAATTAAATATAATATATTTTGCGGATTGAGTGGGAATGCTTGTGTCAAGGTTGATGTTGTTTTTTGGAATGAATTATTTTTAACTTTTTCTCGCTTGACAATCTTTTGAGTCATCTTTATGTTATGGAGGAGCGAAATTTTTTTGGGGGAAAGTAGTTCATAAATAATGTTACATTATCAAGGAAAGCTTCTTCAATTGTTCAAATTTCAAATAATATAAGAATCAAAAGAGATTTTAAAAATTCCATATCATTTGTGAATGAACCCTTGTCGTTATGAAAACCGAAGCTCTTTAATTACAGATAATTCAAATTATTTCAATTGGCAACGAGTTTTATTTTTAAAAATTAAAACCTTTGCGTTTTGCATTCATTAAAATTAATGTAAAGATATCAAGCGTTAAGAAAAGCACTCCAAAATTAGATACTAATAAAACATCTCAAAGAAATCACTTCTAAGAAACAAATTAAATTTGCTGCTTGAAATGATTTTTTTTATCAAAATAAAAATAAATAAAATAAACAGTTTTGTAGCATTTTTCAAAATGATTTCCAAAATATGCCTTGATATTGTCTGAGTCTTATCAAAATCTTCTACCATCTCAAATATTAAAAGTGTCTTTTATCCACAATATATTTAACTCTTACAAGTTGTTGATACTGTTTGCTTTTACAAATTTTTATTTATAACATGCTTGATGATCCTTTCATGATTATCTGGTATTGAGATCTCAATGAAAAAGTGCTTTGTGCTTTCCGTATTTTTTATCCTTTTCTTTTTGTAAAATCATCTTGGGGCATTAAGTGCGCGCGGAAAACAATAAAAAGATGTGGAACAACAGTAAATTTTTAAATATTTTTTGTTAACATCTCATGTCAGCCTTAAATTGCACCATAAATCAACCATTATGAGAATGATATAATTTCGACCGCATGACATGTGTCTGATTCTTTTAGCCTTAACCCTCATCATCATCAAATCCATTACATTTTATTATTACATGTGCTTGCATGAATATGTGTAAAAATCTACTTGGAACATATTTTTAACATTTTCTCGTTAAAAAGCGAGACAATGTTTTTTTTTTGTTTTTTATGTAAATGAAATTTAATTTACTCAGTGGTGACTGTATGCTTTGGATGTCATTTTCTTCCTACTAGCTGGTGTCGTTGTTTAGCAATTCGTTTTTACACATCATCCAAAAGCGTCTGGTAATGAATTATATGAATGTAAATAAAAAACGTGGATTTATGGAGTCATTCATAAATGATGTCAATCAAAAATAAGCTGCTGTCATGCGAGTTTAAATTGTCATAAAGCCCTTTTTTGCAACGAAAATCTAGACGTCATTTATAAATGACCCCAATACCATTAGTCTGTAATTTTTACAACCAGCATTTCCGCTCTCTTCACACTGTGCCTTGAATAAAATAAGAAACAATAAAGACTCTGTATGCTGCTGCTGATGATGATGTTCTCTTGTTTCCTCAGTTCCTTCCTAATTTTCTTTCATTTCATTCTCATGTACACCCATCATCATCATCATACATTCCAACAATCTTCTTATTCTTACTGTTTCCATTGACTTCCTTGAGATATATGAAATATAAATATGTAATGTGTAAACCTAAATCAATGTTTTCATTTTCCTCGTTTTAGGGCCTCTTTGCAAGCATGAAATTTCAAAGGAAATATTTTTTCTGTTTGCGAATTGTTCATTCATGTCTTATAGCTTGGAAATTTTAATGAGGATCTAAAAATTTATAATGAATTTAGAAGATTTATTCAATGTTGTCATATGTGTACGCTTGAGACTTTTTCAAGCTTGATTGTGAATGAAGCTTTAACTTTAATCTCGTAGATAAGTACAGCTGATTTTCCTCAGCTCAAATTTAATTGTTGCCGAAAAACTTTCAGAGTTCAGTTTTAATTGTAATAAATTAGGAAATTTTCACATAAATTGTAGTAATAATTAATTTCATAGCTCATGTTACAATCTCATGTACAGAAAAAGTTTACAAATTTTAAAAGATGTAGAAATTACCTTCAATATTCAATTAAGATGTTGAATGTTTGAGAAGATACAGTTTCACTAAGTGATTTGATTATCCTTGAGATTCAGCTTCTCATCATAAGAAAATGAGAAAAAATCGACCTGGAAAACAACAGCATGTGATTGTTTTTGTAAAATTTTCCCATCAAAACTCTTCAAATATTTTTTTCATCATCAAATTTGTTCCGCTGAAAATCGAATAACGATAAATATATCATGCGATTGAAATTCTGTAACTGGATCTTGTTTCTATTCCCTAGCAGAAATTTACTAGTAATTTCCTAGTAATTCACTTGATAACTTTCCATTTGCTACTTGCTATTTACTAGTCAAAATCCAAGTTCAAATCATCGCCAAAGACCCGCATTTTCACTTGCTAATTGACTAGTCAATTCGCTTACAATTTAACTAGTAATTTACTAGCAAATTTGTAAAAAATTTAAATGAATATAACCGTTGATTTCCACGTGTTCTTTTGATTTTTTTTATTTGTGTAAATTTTTGTAAAAGTATTAGTGTGTTCTTATTTAAAGTTGTCTTGAATTGAATGTCTCATACAAATTTGGATCGAGCTTATAAAGGTGATTTCTGCGCGCTCTTGTGAAGTATATGGCAAATGCCAAATTTAAAACAAAATATTTTATGACGCAAAAAATTCTTTTTTTGATGATTTTTCTTAGGATTCGAACTTAAGAAGATTTGATAAAACATTTTACATGGTAATTTGCTAGTAATGTGCTAGTAAATAGCGAGTGTAATTTTCTAATAGTAAGTTGTTTTAATAATTACTAGTAAATTGCAAGTAGTAAAATAGAAAGACTAGCAATTTGCTAGTTAGTCTCGCTAGGGATTCTAGATAAAAATAAAATATTTCAAAGGAAAATCAAAAAGTCGAGAAAAAGTTGTAAAGTAAAATCAATTACAGTTCATGTAATCTTCTTTTACCTTTGATTTCTTTTGTAACTCGTTGTGAAGTTTAACATGTTTTGTTCGTTTTCGTATCGATGTTTAAATTGCCTTGAAGCTAGAAAAAAATGAGATAAATAAAAATAAGATAATGCGTTTTCAGTTGTTGTTGCTAGCTGTAAAGTTACTGAGTTCCGGGCAGCATACATTTTCATTAAGTTGAGTAGAAAAAGTTGGAATGTTAAGTCAAAAACTAGTTTGAAAATTTTAAAAATTTAGGATAGTTTAAAGAAGTTTGAATTTTAACATTTTAAAAGCATTTCAATAAAGTTTTGATTTTAATAAATTTTGATTGTGAATATTTAAAGTTTTGATTTTAAAGAATTGAAAAAATAATTTTTTTTATATTTTAAAATTTGTTTTGAAATTTAAATCAACAGCTCGGTACACAACACAAAAACCTTATTTTAAATGAAAAAAAAATTGTTATTCATTTTTTATTTTATTTATTAATATAATTTCTTTCATTATTCGAAATGCTACAATTTATGTTTGTTTTTTTTTCTTCGACTTATAAATAATACACATTAAAGTATCATTGTAAATAGGGCATATATGCATAACATTTATCATATAGAAATTTAAGTTATTATTAAAACTTTCTACATTCTACTTATTTTTTGAATTTTTTTAAAAAATATATTCTCTATTTAAATTTTTAAGAATTTTATTTTCTAATGCACATCGATTTTCTCTATTTAATTAGAATATTATTTTTATAAAACGAATTTCATTTTTTAAATTTATCATTTTTGCCATTAAAATTATTAAAAATAATTGAACTTATCGTGAGTTCGTTCTTCATTAATCTTTTAAACACAATTTCGCTAATGGATAAAATTTCCTCTTATTTCAATTTAATAATTATGTTGTCATATATCTTGACTTTTACCAAAATTTAACACAATTCAGAGGATAAATTATGAAAGCATTAAAAATTATGAAATTAGCGAAATCTGTTAAAAATTATCCAGTGCTTCCTTCATCTTACAAAAAATACTGTTGCTGTGTATGTGAAAAATGCAATTGACTTGTCCTTTAAAAGTAAGACACAAATCTTCATAAAATTTTTAAATTCCGCAAACTTATGCCTTAATTTAAAGATATTTTGAAGAGAAACACAATCAATCATACAAGAATTGTGACTTGACATTTAAAAACAATTAAATATTTATGAATGTATGAAAATGTCAATTTCAAAGGACATTTTTAAAATATACTTGAATTAGTACGTAAGATTTACTATGCAAAGACTAAGGTTGTCAATATTGGTCCTGACTACACTCTTGATTTTCAATCGTTTATCAGCAACACCCCTGCTTACTTGTAAGAATTTAAAATCCCATCAACCATTCTAAAAATCAAAAGCCAAACTGTTACAGCAAGCATTTTGATAGTCATTTAACTGCAGAATAAAATTATTATTTTTTAAAAACTATTCCATAAAATTTAAATTAAAATGCAAACTTAATTAACTATTTTATTTTGTATATATTTTATAATACTTTCATCATGATGATGTCACAAGAATTAAATTTTCCACACTAAAATGAATATTATTTTGGGGTTTAACATTCGCTTTTTTAACCATTATCAATAGCTATGAATAATAAATAAATCCATTTAGATTCAAGTTTCTTTCTCGCTTATAAAGCTCTTGATCCATGTTTTCTTCTTTTTTCATACTTTTCGTTTACTTTGGGACGGATAGATTTAAAAACTTTTCGACAATTTTAATTCCATGGAAATATTTTCATCATTCATTCTTAAAATATGACTTAAAAAAATATTAAGCAATAAAAAAAATGTCGAACCTTTAATTTCATTTATGTGAATTAATTGAAATTCTAATTCAAAAAAATACTCAAATATCAACAATTAAATTTTATTAATTCGAATAAAAAGAGGCTTTAAATTATTTTGGAAGTGACCTTTTTCGTAATTGAACTTTTTTTCTTGTTCTTAATTCATTTAAAATTTTAATTATTTATTCGATTTTTTAGTGCGTGTTTTACTAGGAAGGGAGTTGGTCTTTTTATTTTAGAGAACTTAATGGTTTTTGGTCGGGTAATATACAGCACAAATATATTATTAATGAGAATTCTTCAAAAATTAATGCCTCAGTATTCATTTGTAGGTCGATTGAGGAAGTAATTGAAAATGGGTCATTTAAAAATGATTTCACACTTTTTAAATTTACAAATTATGCAAGTCAGGTGTTATTTTTGGAAGTTTTTGTCATAAAACTATTAGAAAATAGTCAAAAAATTTCATTTCAATTTGAAATTCAACTTAAAACCAACTTTTTCAATTGTTTAAATTTTCCCAACAACTTTAAAAAGAATTTTCTTTTCAATTAAACTTGATCAAAAAGTTCCACCTCAAATAAGAATCAACTTGCCTAACAATGCCCCGTGTTCCTATCAATTTGTCCAACTTTTTCACTTGAACAATTTTCAACAATAATTCTAGAATGAAGAAAAGTCACTTAAGTGAAAAAGGTCTGAATGCATCTACTGATAAGAATGCTTTCACAAGATTTTAGCAATTTCAAATTGAAGACATCGAAATAAAAAATGAGAAGGAAGAAGAAAAGTTTCCTCTTGATATGCTTTAATAAAATTTCATTTCTTGCTTCATACGACAGGAAAAATAAAAATCGCATTTAAAACTCATTGGAAGCGACGAGAGAAGAAGCGAAGAAAGAAATTTTCATCGATATTTATAAAGTCATGATGACAATAACGAAGTCAGATAGTGAAAAAATTTGTCAAGCGTATTTTTAAGTGGGAATATGTGTGTACCTGAAGGAAGCGCACATATTCGCTAAGATCTGCATTATGTAAATCACATTTGGCTTCGAGGCAGAAATTTTTTTCTTCATTCAAGGAACAAAAAAAATATCTCGTACATGATATTATACATTTTCCTTATCTCTCTCACTTTACATTGTACGTATGCTATTTTTTTATGAACAGTTGTGTGTGATATGCCAAAATGTGAATGTAATATTGACTGTTGACTCAATCGATTTGTGGCGCTATCAAGGAACTTATTCCTTCTTTCTCATTTTTATAGCAATGTGTGCTTTTTGTTAAATGTTCATCTCGTTAAATTGATATTCATATTTATCTATCTCCCTCTCCTATCCAAACTTCTGCCGTATGTCGTTGTCAATGTTTATCAACCTTCATCATCAACAAAAAAATATATTTTTAAGAGCATCATCAAGGTTTATTTGCTGCCTCATTTCCTCTCCCCTATTCCTTTGACTGCTTCAGCTATGCAATGATAATAAAAAAAAATAATAGTATCAATATGTATACTCAAAAAAAAATTGAATGTTATGATGAAAAAAGTAAAACATGCCAGGATGATGAGATGAAAAACAAAAATTATAGAATCAATAGCAACAGCAAAATGCTGGTTCATGATCAATTTTAAAAGATAAGATAAGAAAAAAAATTCTGTTAAAAAACTTTAAATGTCATAGTCAATTGGTTGGTTGGACTGAATGTGCATTTTAAATGTATAGGAAATTATCAGCAATTCATTAATAAATTGCAGCTTTTTCGGATGGATATTTTGGCTAATTTTTTTAGAGAGAATTTCAACAAAATCTTATTCGAAATGCCTCATTTGAATTAGAATTGAAAACGAAAATTGGCAGATGACAGATGGTTGATGTGAAGAGGGGGAAGGGGGAAGGGTCCGTAGATTTAACAGTTTTTTTTTTGTATTAATATTCTGTTCAGTCAGCCAAGTATGTTTGCCAAATGACAATTCAACTTTAGTATCAACTCCGTTTGTCACTTAAAATAAACATTAAATTTGGATGTAAATTAAAATAAAAATCAAGTTCTTGGGAAATTAATCAAATTAAGAATTGACACAAATTCGAAAAAAAAAATCTCTACACGTGTATAAATTTTAAACAATTTTTGTTGCCATCAGAAATGATGGAAAAAATTGAAAAACTTTTCTGTTTAAATGTTGTGAAAAAAATATCAAACAAGTTGACTGCACACAAAAAAGCTTCATCCTCGCTATTTTATATACAATATATCGATAAAAAAAATTATTAGTTCAACAGCAAATTTAATTGAATTCAGAACTTTTTTTTTGCTTGTCTTTCAACTCGTTGCATATAAATTTGATGGAAATTTTTCTCACAATTCATGTCATTCAATGCATACAACATGAATTTATGTACAATATAATGGTGATATGCATGAGATCCTCTCAACGTTTCATGAAATGTGATGATGTGAAAAATAACACACAAAAAAAGTTTCTCCACATCAATCAAAAACAGTTCAGAGTGCACAAAAAAAGGCTTTTAATATATGAATTTAATTGCCCTTTGATGAGAAACAAAAAAAAACGTGGATGGCAATTTTTATTTTTTAATTTTTTCAACAATGCAATGGCATTAAATTAATGATGTCATGGCTATTTATGCACAATCACTCATGATAAATGATGGGTGATGAAAAGCAATGAATGAAAAAATAAGTTTTTATTGCTGAATTAATAAATTTATGCTTCTGGGAGATTCTTCTGAAATTGCTTTTAGCAATGCAAGCTTAAGAGATGCCTGGGCATTTACGATGATGAAGTTTGATTAAAGATAATTTGATCGAATAATTATGATACTCTTTTATTATCAGATTAAATAAAGATAATTTTTAAGTGGAATTTTGCGGATGTTAAGTTTCGGACTGTAAATTGGATCACTATAACAAAAACTTTTGGCTATAACAAAAGTTTTATTTAAATGTGACAATTTTTGCTTAGTCTTAAAGGCTATTTTAATGTCAGTTAAACTTTATTGATTATTAAAAAGTTTTTTCAAGCATTTTGGGGTTCATTCAGGAATGATAGGTAATATTTTGGGGAACATCCTGAAGAAATATCCACTGAACTCTCTAAAGCCTTCCGTTTGTATTTAAAAAAAATGGGAATTTTCGATGTGTCTCCTCAAAGGCCTCAAAAGCCTTGGAACCCGATATAAGTGAAAGTTAATTAATATTCATTTTTAAGTAAAGTCCAAGATTGTTTAAAATTGTAATAAAAAGTTTTAACCCCCAAATTTAATGCTGATTTTAGTAATCAATCCTAAATCCAGCTCATTACAAACATAATAAAACCACTCCATCATTGTCACAGATAATAAACTTCAAACGAAAGTTAAATGGCTACAGAATCCTAATTTATAGCCACTCGGGTCAATAGCTTTAGCACTCCATCCCCTATCAATGTCAGCACTTTAAATGTCACATAAAATCAAAAATGATTTTTACCCAAAAGTATTCATTATAAGCTTATTTTTAGAATATCTAATAAACTCATCAACACATCACTTAATTGTTTTCATTATCCCTTTACGTTTTTGTGTTTATGCATTGCTCAATTCACTTAATCAATCAAGCAATTTAGGAGGAAGGAGAGTAAAATTGATTGAAAAAACAGACAGAATTGAGGGAAAAAATTCCAATAAATTAAGAGAGCGTAAAATTATCAACACGAATGTTATTTTACTGAAAATTTTCGTGTATATGTTCATGTGGCCCATCCTGGTGCTTAAAACATTTCTCCTACGTTCGTCATTCTGACACTTTTTCGATTAAATGAGCATCAAATTTCACATCATTCGCATGACATGAAACTCGTGAATGATAAGACATTTCTATCTTATATGTGTGTGTACATCACATTTCCGTCTTTTTTGGCAGTGCCATATCATGAAGTAATAATAATAACTATAACAATAATAAAACAGAATTTGTGTGTGCATGTAAAACTTTTCTCTTTATATTTTTCGGAAACCAACAAAACTCAATTTTCCTTCCTCATGACTGAATGCCATTTGTTACAGAAATATGTGTTCTGCACAGATCTACTTTTATATGCTGTAAAAATGACAGAATGGGAAAGAAGAAAAGAAAATGTTTAATTTTCTACGGTAATGATCCATGTCCTTCATAATGGAAGTAACAGATATCATTTTACGCCATTTTACTCTTTTATTCTCTCCTTTCAACAATTTTAATAAGTGTTTCATTTAAGCTTGTAGCTCCAACACGTTTTTATATGGAACACATACATTAATAATACTTTTGTGACGCATATTTAGCTGTTATCACAATTTGTGAGCTTTTTTTTCTCTCTCTCGTGTTGGAACTGGTTGGAACATTAAAATACTGTGTCTTTTCAAATGGAAAGTTAGAACATGTTGTAATCTTCAGGAGCACTGTATGCATTGAAAGTGCAATGATGTTAAATGAGAAAAGTTTGAGGAAGTTTACTGGAAACGTGTTAAAGGCGTAGTTTTGAAAGATTTATTGTGGAAGTTGTCATACATGAATGATTGGGTCACTATTTGTAGTCAAGACTTGTCTTTGACATACTTTCCTGGCTTTATTAAGCTATCTAAAATTTGGCCGAAAAAAATTGGTAAAAAAATCTCATTTTTAAATCTATGCCCCTAGATTCGCTAGACACACAGATCTTATTGTGCATGATGAGTCTCAAGACTAATCATTATTACGCATAAAAATGTACTACGAATAATAAAGCTCAATGACTCAATTGCTAAAGTTCATAAGTCGATGTGAGATACTTTCTTTTAAAAGAACGAGTTCAATTCTCAATTGGTTATTAAATAAACTTATTTTAACATTTCAAACTTTATTTTGGTCTAAATATTTAAATTGTTCAATCCTGATTCACTAACATGTAAGGATCGAATAAATCACCAATTTTTGGAACATTTAAATTCCCTCGACCATCATCAATCATGATCTGTTAAGTCAACAAATCAACATGTACAAATCAAAATCCACAGATTTAACAAATTAAGCACTTTCGCCTCTGCCATCGGTTTCGGTTATTAAACAAACCCTTTGGAAACCCATTTAGTGAACTCTACCAACATTCAAAATAAATATAAAGTCACATTTACATTCAAAAAGTGCTCTGGAAACAGTAAAAAAATTTAATTTTGAAATCTTTTCGAATTTCAGTGAAGATGAAAAACATCTGGTAGATATAAAATACATACACACACAAGCTTTAAACTTAGTATATGAAGAGGTTGGTGCAACTTGTTACAGATTGTTGAGCATAACTTTAACCACCCTCTCCATCAGTTCCTTTCTCATCCCATCATCCAATTTTGTGCAAAAAAAAGTTTTCGTTTCTACGCTCAGTAAAAATGAGAATTTTATGCGATTTAATGAATTGTAATTAGTACGAAGTACAAACTAATGCAATAATTTAATTAAATTTAATGGAAAACTAGCATGTGAACTGTAAGTGTGTGTAGGGAACGATAAAATTAGATTTTTCACTTCACATGTAATGCTTAAATACATGTTTACTCGCTTCCTCTCCTCTTTCCTGTGTTATGATATTTAACTCTATTGCTTTGCAATGAGTAGACGGCAGTTTCACGTACCTAATTTGTTACGTGCGCTTCTGTGCCTCGATGGCTTTTAAGGAAAATGTATAGTTGGATGTGGAAATTTCTCTGTATAAGCTTTAAATCACAAACTTATTTGTATTTGAGTACCTGATATAAAATTGTATAGTTTAAGGCTCAACAAACTTCTTATGCGCTCTTAAGACTTCAGACCAATTTAGTAAAGTTAAGATTTCAAATCTTGTCTATTTATAGCTGACATTTAACTTCAAGTTTCATTATTATTATTGCCTGAGAACTTCTCTTCTTAATTAAAAAAAAATAAACAGTTTCTTCCATCACCTCGGCAACAGAAAAAAGCAGTGATGATTAAATATTATTTGTTGCTAATTAAATTTGCCATCATTGCAGCTAATTATGATTGTAACCATTTTTGTTAATTTGGCTGTTGGCATTTAATAACATTAAAATATTTTTTCATTAATCACGTAAAAAAAGGAGAGAAAGGAGTAATGGATGAATGAATTAATAGAAATTAAATGACGTACTTTTCGTTTATTTCTTTGACTTGTTTTTACCCTTTCGGCGCTTTTTCTTGCTAGAATTGTTATTTGATGTACTGCTGCCGACATTAGTGCTTTCTTCTTGCACTAAAGACTTTGTAGGTGTCGAAGGCGTATTATCAGTCGTGGATGTATCCTCATCTTCATCATTTTCATCGTCTTCCTCACCATTCTCATTAGATTGACTTGTTGTTGCTGTTGTTTCAGTAAGTTCAAGTGTCAATGCCTCCTTACGTGCACTTAGTGACTCTTGTGAATATTGAATCTCATGTGCAAGAAATTCATCGACACCAGGATTCGAGTATACTTGACAACTGTCAATGCTCGCTTGATTATCAATATCATGATGTTGCTGATGATCATAAAAGTCATTTATGAGACGCTCACGAACCATAAAGACAGTTCCAATACTGCCTGTTTTCTCTTCATACGACGTACTTACAATGTTATTGTCATCATCTTCTTCACATTCCTTTTCGTGCTTCTCGAAATTCTCTATGTCCTCCTCATCATCATCATCTTCTTCCATGCTTCGCGACCAACTCAAACGAACTTTCTCATTTTGTTTCAGCTCTTTTAGGACATTTTTCATTTTATCATTAAGCGACAGTTCTTGACGATATGTAATACCATCACCATAATCTTCTAGATCATTATTAAATGATGATAAATCATCTGAGTGTCCAATGGCAATTTCGGTTGCTGCACCATCACCAACTAGTAATGGATTAACAACTTGTACGATTGTATTGATCTGATTAGAATATTCAATCTCATCATCATCCTCATCTTTGTAGTCATGTTGATCATCCGATGACATGAGAGTATTTACATTAGCATTAATATAATCTGATGGATCTGTTGGATGTAGAATGAATGTATCTTCGGTATTATTTGGACATACTGTAACCATCGATTGATTATCATCACTCTCATCGGCCGAATACTGTTGTTCCATTAGATTTGACGATTGTAATGATGAAATAAATTGCTCGGTTATTGGTGTCGATGTGGGTGTCAATGGTGACTCTAATGATTTTGGATCTTCCAATTCGAGTGAGAAAATCTTCTCTTGACACGTTTCAACCTGTTGGATTATGTTTGGATGTTAGCAATAACATAACACACAAATTAATGGTTGGGGAAGAGATAAAGAAAGAGAAGAAAGAAGAAAAAATTGGAAACAAATTGTAATTTGGAATTAGAAGGACATGTACATGTTCATTCATTATATAACAGTTAGTATGTAAGTGTGCCTTATTGTACAAATCAATATTACATTATATGGAGAGTAAATTGACAAACATTAAAGAACCATCACCATAATAGCTCCTACATAAATGGCACAGCCGTAATCACGTGTCTGTGCCTCCCATTTAATGTTAACAGTGTTATAACTGAGAGTAATAACCATATTACAACCATACATTTGTTAACTTACACAAAAAATAATAAAACAAGAACACAAACACATACATTTAAACATAATCCATCTTCATACACATAAAGGAGCATAAATTTATTTTAATTGAGCAATTACAGTGCTACAAAAATAAATTTTATATGGAAAGTAAAGTTCATTATACAAGACATAGATCGTGGACTCTCGATAAGTTGAGATTTAGTTGATAGGAAATGCGTTAATTCCTTGAACGCATTTACTGGTCGGAAAGTATTTATTTATTTTTATTCAACAAGTTCATATTTTATGCCTGGGTGGATGAATTTTTGCATGCAAAACTATTCAGTAGTTTATGTTTATTCTGACTCAGTTAGAATTTTTCATAATGTCTAAATCATAAGCAGTGGGGGGGAGCCAACTCTTTGGCTACGTCACTGAAACTTTCATAAAAAATTCAAGATAGAACTTAGTTTCATGCATAGAATCTCAATCCATCCCACATACAAGATCCAAAATCAACAGTCATTCAAAAATCAATATCAAGCTTCATCGAATACAAATTGATAACATTTTCTTGCATCAAAAACTTTCTTACTTCTTCTTGAGGTAGTCTTTAGTCCTTTTTCTATGGCAAATCATCACATCTTAATTAATCATTTGTGAACGAAGAATTTTTCAATAAGCAACAATAAATCAATTGTCCATAAAATAGACAATGACGTTGACAATAGGACAAAATAAATTAAGCTGTTCCGTTGGAAAAAAAAGGGACAGAAAAGAATTCTCGTCCTCAGCTGGAGCGTTTAAAGGAAAGGAGCCATTACAATCATCGAGTTGGATGAATAGGAAGGGTAAGATATAATGGTAATCCAACTTCTTATGCCATTCTTTATCCTTTTTTTTCCGGCTCAAGAAAATGTTGATGACCCAAAGTTGGAAAAGTGGAAAAAGGGCACAACAACAAGCAGTAAGCAACACGCAAAAAAAAGAAATGGTTTCATTTATTTAAGAGCGAATGGAAATCAAACCACAATTTATGAGATTTACTGACTGCTGAATTATTTATTTTCCTTTAACGAATGAAAAGGAAGAAGGATGAAGGGATGCAGAAGGTATGAGGAGCTAATTTGGATGCCTTTTCATGTTTTTGATCCATTTCATTTGCCTTTTTTCCATTTTGCTACTTTCCATTTCTTCTTCTTATTACTGCTTGTGCTTCTGATACTGTTCATGAATATATGTAGTTTAAGGGGATTTTTCTTCTTTCCTTATGAACTCATAGATTTGAAACATGAGTAAAGTATCTGAAGATTAAGAGGTAAATTGTAATTTGATACTGACCAGTGGGGGTCGTTTTGATAAAATTTAGTATTCTGGTGGCTATGCGGATATGTAATAGGAAATTTTTTGAAGTAATTGACTAGAAATGTTGTAGATAAATCAATACTTATGGTAACTGATGTTAATTCAATCTTTGCGAGTGCGGAAAATGGTAGCTTTTAAAAGCTTTAGGGGATTTATTGGATAACTTTGTAGTTTGTAGAGCTTTAAGGAATTTTTAAGATCTTCCATCACAAATTTAACTTGACACAAAACTAATTTTTTTGCCGCAAACTTAAATCGTGATAATTGAAGTGCTCGAGCCTATTTTATGCCCGTCTGGAGAGTTTTGGCTACTTTACCTGATATCGATTGACCGGAATCGACTACTCTCGACATTCAAAACCCCTGATTTCCAACAAGTTTTAAGATATGAATCATTTATCGCAAATATTTCAAACCCTCCAGTGATCATGGTAAATATTTTCATAGAAATAAAATATAGTAAATAAGAAAATATGTAATAAGATGCAGACGCACATGGTAAATTGAGTATACTCAATAGAAATAAATAAAGGTCAATATTCATACTCATTTCCGCATTTCTAGAATGATTATGTATTTTTATTATATTCACACCGTTTTCAAGTGTGAATCTATTGGTTTTGTTCAGATTGAAAAAATTTCTTCGAGGGTTTATCCAAATGGATTGAAACTTTGCATAAATATTCTAGTGCTTAAAACAAATACAAATAAAACATCCTAAAATTTTTTTGAGCAAAGAACCAAGAAGGAAATACATTTTCAATTTTGGACTAGGGGCGACCCTAGTATTTCCTTCTTGGTTCTTTGCTCAAAAAAATTTTAGGATGTTTTATTTGTATTTGTTTTAAGCATTAAAATATATATGCAAAGTTTCAATCCATTTGGATAAACCTTCGAAGTAAAAAGTGACAAAATTGATTTTGACTAGGGTCGCCCCTAGTTCATAATTGAAAATGTATTTCCTGCTTGGTTTATGCTCAAAAAAATTTTAGGATGTTTTATTTGTATATGAGACTTTGCAAGTGAAAATGAGACTAACAATTTTTTTAGTTTTGGCTTAATAAAACCAAGAATCCGCATAAAAACTATGACGTATTATATATTTTCGGAAAGCTCTTGATTTCAGCTACATGAATTTTTAAAACAAACTTAATTATATTAACAAGGGTTGGAATCCTAGGGGTTTTAAACTGTTGATCTACATACAATTTGGTACGTCACACTGTGCCCTGTTCCTTAAAGGAAACAACTATATATTAAGTGAATTGGATTAACAAAACAACATATTAATAGACAACAGAGAGATTTTTTCGTTATCTTTCCTTGATTTTTTTTTATGAGTTATCAAACCTTGGTGATTTTTCTATATGATTTTTTTTAAAAATGCTCTAGCTCATCCAAATTTTCAAGTATTTTAATTATTTAAACGCCGTTTATCTTATTTTTTATTTAACTATATCTTGACGCTCAGAAAAAATTTAAGGGTTGGACACTTTGTCAAAATAAAAAACCAACCCTTGTATTTTTTATTATTTTTTATGTTTAAACTATTAAAATTAAGAACTGTAAATTTATAAATAAGTTAAAATCATTATTTAATTAAAATAACTTTGTATTTTATCAAATCAACCCTCAATAAAACTGAAAAATTAAAAAAAATTTTTTTAAATATTTTGATAAATTCATTACCTTACTATAATTAAATTTTGAATTATTAATATAATAACATGAATGAAACAAAAATATTTTTTGCAAAAATTAAAATTTAACGTTAAATACAAATTTAATGTAATGCAAACAAATTGTTTTTAATTTTTCCGTTTTATTGAGGGTTGATTTGATAAAACACAAATTTATTTTAATTAAATAATGATTTTAACTTATTTATAAGTTTACAGTTCTTAGTTTTAATAGTTTAAATATAAAAAATCCAAGGGTTGGTTTTTTATTTTGACAAAGTGTCCAACCCTTGGATTTTTTCTGAGCGTCAAGATATAGTTAAATAAAAAATAAGATAAACGGCGTTTAAATAATTAAAATACTTGAAAATTTGGATGAGCTAGAGCATTTTTAAAAAAAATCATATAGAAAAATCACCAAGGTTTGATAACTCATAAAAAAAAATCAAGGAAAGATAACGAAAAAATCTCTCTGTTGTCTATTAATATGTTGTTTTGTTAATCCAATTCACTTAATATATAGTTGTTTCCTTTAAGGAACAGGGCACAGTGTGACGTACCAAATTGTATGTAGATCAACAGTTTAAAACCCCTAGGATTCCAACCCTTGTTAATATAATTAAGTTTGTTTTAAAAATTCATGTAGCTGAAATCAAGGGCTTTCCGAAAATATATAATACGTTATAGTTTTTATGCGGATTCTTGGTTTTATTAAGCCAAAACTAAAAAAATTGTTAGTCTCATTTTCACTTGCAAAGTCTCATATGTTTTAAGCACTAAAATATTTATGCAAAGTTTCAATCCATTTGGATAAACCCTCGAAGAAAAAAGTGACAAAATTGATTTTGACTAGGGTCGCCCCTAGTCCAAAATTGAAAATTGATTTTCTATGGTGTAGTTTGGTCAAAAAAGTTTTTTGGGTGTATCATTTGAATTGACATAATTCTGAAATAAATCACGTATTAATATTATTTTTTATAATGCATAGCTTAAAAAATCGAAAGCTAAAATTTTGACTACCCAACCTGAATTTTGTTCATAGTCTTCACTGTAGAAACCAAAAAACAAATTCTTTATCTTAAAACACTTGACAAAATAGCGACATAATTCAGAATTAAATACTTTTTAATAATATTTTAACATTTAAGAGAAAATGTGGTCTAAATAAGTGTGAAGTATGGCCGAGATTTGGACCAAAATCAGCTATACTGGTTCATAGTGTTCCCGAGGGTGACAAAATTCAAACTAAGTGTTTTTGTAGCTGACATAATTATGACATAAATTAGGTATAACTTTTGAACTGTGTCGATATGGGTCTCGGCCGTACTTCACGCCCACCCTTCAAACTTATGCTGAGCAAATCTTGGTCTATCCATAAGACTTTTGATCGTACGGTGTGAATATATCCGCATTGGGTTTCTCCCCGATACTCTAATTTTCATTCTGTTCCTTATTTCATTATTCGAATGCATTAGAAGGTTTTGCAATATTAAGGATAATTGAATTTCCATTTCGATCGTGAAAAAAACTTACTTCCGATAGAACGTTGAGAAGAAAAATCATTTACCTATTTGAGTAAATTTCATTTTTCCATCTTTTCCATTCGATGAATGAGAATGAAAATTCGAAAGACAACTCGAAAACAGTCAGACATGAATCAATAAACGTTATCGAATGTTATTTCAGTTATTGCAATCGAGAATGATCTCAATTATCTTCATGATCTGTCTCATCTCGTTATTGTAAATTTTCCATTTCTTCTCTGTTCCAAATATTCACAATAAAACTTGAATAAGCTAAAGGTAAAGGTTGATATTGGATATTTAAAATTTTAATGAATTCTCAACAAGCAAGGTACAGAATTGCATTTCAATTAAATCTTATCAATTTATTTGAATTTTAATGAATTTCACTTCGTGCCTGGGAAATTTAATTCCATTTATTCTTGATGTGCTTTAAGATTTTAAAGGACGAGGATAAAAATAGGAATATGAAATCAAGGTAGAGACAAAAAAGGTTTTTCATTGCAAATTTCGAATGGAACTGCAATTTATTCTGGATTTTAAACATTAAGGATATTGAAAATTATTCGTCTATTCTTGCAGTAGAATTCGATTTAATAATTCCAATGTTAGCAAAGAGAACAGAGTCGGTTACAAACAAAAAAATTTCAAAATTTTCGCGCGGTATTTTTTTAAAATTTCAAAATAAGAAAGTCCGTTACTTTTTATTTTTTTTTAAACTAGCTGTTTTTTAAATCATAAACATTTAAGGAATGCAATTTCATCACAGTGATTATCTTAATCATAAAAACTAGTAGGAATGTTCACTAAAATTACAAATTACTCGAAAAATAATAATTCAAAACGAATTTTTTTAAAAATAAGAACTTCGAAGATTCGATTTTCGAAAAATAAGAACCTCAAAAATTCGAAGTTCGAATAATAAGAACTCAAAAATTTCTGTTTGCTAGCATTGGGAATAATTGAATTGTTATGCATCATAGGGCTCATCCATATTTGAGGTCAGCATCAATTAAAATTCTTTTTATAAAATTAATCTTGTGCCCTAAGTCAGACTTACTGTCATTGTTTTCTATGAGTTGTTCAGTCAAAAGGTCAAATAAATTACTGCGTAATCCTTTAGATTTATTTACATAGCATTCAATTTAATCGCTGACTATAATATGCAGCATATGACATTTATGCAATCCACGAGAACTCAACGAACCCAATAATTACTGACAAATGAGAGCTTTCATTAAAATCACGATATCATTAAATTCCAAACATTTATCCACATCCCTATAATTTCCATCGTAATGCATCATTATGTTCAATCGCAATATCAATTACAGCAAACAACATTCACTAATAGATTTACAAATCAGTAACGGAAATGTATCATGAAACATTAAATCATTTGTTGTTAAGTTCAATATATTTTTCATTTTATAGAACTGTTTAAAAATATTTCATTTCATGTTCAACAGCTTATCTCTAATGAGAATCCTGTGAGAAATTTTTTGAAATTCAATTTTTCATTTTATTGATGCCAATCGAAAAAGCAAGCTTTCAAGCGTCATTGAGTTTACAGTCTTTTTTTAAAGGAAATAACAATTTCTCTCTTAAAAAAATAATCATTATAAAAGAAAAGTCCATTAGTAAGTCATCAATAACGTCTATTAAAGTCAATTTGCTATAAATGGAACATTTTTGTTTAGTTCGCCAAAAATCGCAACATTTTTCTCGTTCCGAAATTGATCGATTTTTATTGCAGTCATTAGTGCCAGACTGAATTTTATGGTGTGGCTATCAGAAATCATCGCAAATATTGGCAATATTGAGTACATTTTTTTCGTTCCTGTCTTTTGTTGATGTGTGCGAACATTTTTTTTTTCAATTCTATGTGATACATGGACTAATAAAATTTTCATCGATGTCACACAATGACCAGCATTTGTCCTCTGGGGCAATCGATGTTAAATTTTGATGTATGATGAAAGGTCAACGATGAGGAAGATTATTTTTTTTATAATGGTCTATAAATGTCTCACATTCAGTCTCTAAAATTTTTTGTAGCTCATTCAATATTGATCTTGGGGAATTTTCATATTAACCATTGGAGTTGGATCAAGTTTGTGGTCATATAAATGATGGACTTTTGTGGGTTGAAATCTCAATGGGAAATGGCGTTAGTCTCTAATGTTTGCTTAATTCAAAAGGTATAGTCTTGGTGTACCTTTGAGATGTCTCAATAACATTTATCTTATTTTGGTCCTCCATTCGACATTTAAAACAAATTTCAAGCGAAAATTCCATCAAACAGTCCAAAACTGTAATTCCAATTCCACATGATTCACAAATCTCACAACTCAAAGTCATTTATTTTCAATTTTGAAACTCACATCCATTCAATACTCGATCATTTAAAGAGAAAATCCTCGTTTTTTTCTATTTCCGATACAAATGCCAAAATCTCATGTTCATCTGATGCGATTATGCATGAGATTATTCACACATTCGTAGACAGTATTAATGTATAACACATGCACACGCATTTTGGCAAATAATAGAGATGCAATAAAGAAGAAATGCGAAAGCGATTTGTGGTCAATTGTGAATTTGAATGTCTATATCATCAAAATCGATTTTTGAATAATGCCCTAGCACATCATCGTCATAAATTGAGAGAAAAATAGGCATGCTAGAAAATTAATTTAAATCCAAAATATCTACAGTGAATTCATCCAAACAAAAAATTGCATAAAAATTGTGCAAAGTGCAATTCAAACAACAACAAAATCTGTGGCTTTACAACCTTTTTTTGTGGATGTGAAAAAATTAACATTCAATTCAACGATCACAAATTAAGCAATTTACAGCAAAAGCAATTTTAAAAAAAGGACAAAAATTAATATTTTTTTCACCTCTCTCTCGATGACTTTCTCAACATATTCGAAAGTCTGAAAAGTCGGTTCACCTGTGATAGGATCCGAGACCTCTTCAGTTCGTTGAATTATTTTCTCATCAAGGATTGTCTCCTTTTCTCTCACCGTCACTTGACCAGGGCGAAGTTTTATTGCAATTCGGGGAAATTTTAGTCGACTTTTTGCGGATTTTGTTATTAAATCTTCGTTAGACTACAGGTTTTTTTTTTTTTGGAATTGGTGTGTGTTAAATGAGAAAATGGGAAAATATTAATAGGTATTAAATTTCATTAATAATTGATCAGCTATATAAATGTATCAATATGTTAATGGGTGGAATAAATAAATTATTTTTACATTTTTGATGTAAAGCAAGGACGAAAAATTGGTCAATAAAAAATAATATCGAAATTCAATAACGGCAACAACATAATTTAAAATAATTTTGCATTCAAGGGATGATAAGTGTGCTAATTAATTAAGTGCTGGAAGTTGCTATATTACAAAAATTATGTTTCAATTTCCTCCCACTTACATACATCTTAATGAGATAAGTTCATACAAAATTTTAACAAAATATTTTCTTTGACAATTTTCAGCATATGTGCACATGAATCCGAGTCAATAACCTTTATATCAGTATTTATTAATTCTCAGAAGTTTGTCTCATTCATGACTCAGACGACATGTTTAAATTGACAGTCGTACCTTATCTTGATGTATCGTTTTACCATAAAAGATGTTTCAAATTCACATACTTTAAGGATGAAATGATTTGTATGGAATCATAAAGGATATACATAAGATCAGATGTTGAATCAAATATTGAAACTTACGACTTGAAATATCAATTTTATTTTATTTCATACAAAATTGAATTTTGAATATTATTTGTGGAAGTGAATGTTCAAATGAATATTTTAATACATGTCATGAAAGGGGATGAGAGCTTTTAAACTGTTAGATATAAATTATTCGTCTGCCACAAGTGGACTTTATAAAAAATAACGACCAACTAATCCCTAAATCCTCTACTAGACATTGTACCACAAAAGCACTAATCCGTTAATCCAAAAACTCAATTTCATTTAAATCAAAAATCCCCCAAAAAAAAGTTTATGCCACAAATCAGTCAGCAAATCATCCCTTGAATGGTAATCAAATATTTACAAAAAAACACGCAGGCTGTAAGCTACAAACAAAGCAAATTGAACCATAAAAAGCTTTAAACATTTTCAAATTACGTAAGCAAACAGAAAGGCTATCGTCAACACTCTAGCTTGAATTTATATATTTTATTTTATTTCGAGGGGATGAACAATAAATTGAAAATATAACAAAACAGCATAAAGCAACTTCAAACATAATAAAAATAATTTAATGTTTTTATTTTATTGAAGCACTCGTAAATATATTTTTTGATCCTCTTGAGAGATTTAAACTTTTTTTGGAGGTGTTTTGAGTTATTTGATGTTCAATTGATTGAATAAATGAATGGGTGTGCTTTTGAAATTGAGGCTTTATAATTATTAATTCATGGTATCGAATTGTTGGTTTTACGCGTGAATGAAGCACAGTTATTGCTGAGAAAAAATTTGTACGGTTCTTTTTCGAACAGGAAAAGGATTTTTTCATTTAAGTATATATTCTGGAAAATTGTAGTCATAATTAGAGGTAAATATTCGGCTGAATTTAAAAATTGTTCAATCCTAATTCCCCCCCAATCTTGATGTCAGCAAATTCAATCTCGAATTGAATTTATGGCTTCAGCCTTCATTAAACCTTAATGACTTTGGTTGTAAATCTATAAAAAATGACATCCTAATGCTTTAAAATCAAATCTCTTCAAACATTTTAATTAATCTTAATAAAAAATCGAAAGATTTAACATTTCGTCCCAATATCAATTTATTTTGACCTCATTTACAAGCAACACCCTAAATCAGCTTTTTCTTCTTCAAAAGGTAACTCATCCTACATGCAAAAAGTATTTTTTTAAATTACTGAAATGAGATGTGAACGAGAAAAAAAAGGAAAGCAGCAACAAAGAAAATGAAAAATTATAAATACGTGACAGACAAAAGCATGGACAACAGTAGGGCCTTTAAAACATACAAACAAAAAAAAATTTGGGTATGAAGAGAATAATGAAAGAAGTCGGGAAATAATTAACATAGCATGTACGCGAAACAACGTCATTTTTCAATTTGTCTCTTTTTTTCAATTCCATTTTCACTGAACAGCAGCAAAAAAATGTACACAAAGAGGGAAAGATGGATAACAAAAGCCCATCGGAAACAACCAACAAAAAAAAAATTAAAATAATTAACGCCAAAACATCTTTTCATGCTTAATTAATATTCAAAGAACTTTCGCGGCTAATTAATTCGACATCTCCTTAAAATTACAGTGAAAAAACACTGAAAAGGAAAGACAACAGCCGAAAGATGTAAGGATCATTCAGTTGAAAAGAAAGAATGGTCGCTCTTGACTTTCTAGTCGCTGTTTTAACATCTCTCTACAGACTTTGTGTACATTTGCGTGAAGACAATTTGAGAAAATCAAATTACGTCTTTAGCCGTAGGAGAAAATGGTTCGAAAAAAGCTCATAAAGAGAGACGAAATGAAAAAAATAAACAAAATGTCTACAAAGAAAGTTTCGTCACTAAAAAGATATTTCAAATGTAGACTAAATATGACATTTTGTCACTTTATCTTGCTTTATTTACCATTAAAGAATAACTTTCATCCTATTAATTCCATTTTCTTTTCTTTGAAGTTTGTTTTGAATGTCAAAAGTGAGATAAAGGAACAAAATATTTAAATGAAAATTTTATTTGATGCTAAGATTCAATGAAGCTTTTGGAATTTGGGAAATAAATAGGATTGATATACTATGGTCAATAGTTTTGATCTGATTAGTTGTTGGAAGTCAGTGATCACTGAATATTGTGACTTCTTTAAGTTTAAATTTGACAAAGTGATAAAAATTCAAAGAAGAAGCTATAATCATCAAGGTTGTATAGTTAAATAAAGTTTGAACAGCACCTATGGTATTAAGATCTTAAAGAAAAAGAGTTTTGATATTCAAAATCATAATTTGTCAGGATCATCCAGCATTTCATTCTTAATCAAAGTATAAAAAATCTCAGATTCTAATAAAATCAGTAAGAACCAAAAATGAATTCATGCATTAGTAAAATCCACAACAAAATAAATTTTATGAGCTAAAAATAGCTCCTCTAATCTCTACGGCAACAATAAGAAAATTAACTAAGATCATAACTTTGGTCATTAGTGACAGTATCTGAAAATACCAAATCTCCTCAACATCGCCCATTAAATGAGAGCAACATCATAATATGAAGTAAACAATAAAGTTTTATGGAGATTTTAATGAAATCCAAACGATAAGAAGAGAATCAAAGCATCAAATTTGCATGAGAATTAAAAAGATTTTCTTAAGAAAAAATAAAATAAAATTGAGATATTTTTTGTCATGCCTTGCCCACCCATACTGCTAATTACGGTAAATGAGAACTGAAATAATCATTTTATTATCCATTAGACTAAAAGCATTTGACCGAGATTTTTTTTGTCAATTAACATTAGAGAAATGCAACCATGAATATGTAAATCCATTCTACAACAATTTGCTACATAAAAATATCTAAGACTGAACACTCTCACAGACACACACGCGCACGAATGCATGCAAAAAAAAGGGAGAAAATAAATAAATTTTGTTCATGCATTAAACTTTATTTTCACTTAGCTTACCTCTTCCTCCTCAACACCATCGAGCATATCACGTTGCATCTTCTTCTTCAGATTTCTAATATCATCCGATGATGGTTCATTGTTTAGGCGTTGTATCATGATTTGAGCTTGAAGGGCGTCTTGCTCCAATGATTTTAGTCTCGCTTGACGCCATGCAGCCCGTTTTTCCGCTCTGTAAATGAGAAAAGACAACAAAGATATAAATTTTTTTGTCGTTTATGTGTTTTTCAGGATTTTTTTTTTATGTTGCAAGGTAAGGATGCATACAAAAATTATCTGGGTCTGTAGATATGGTACACAATTTTATTCCAGCTATGTAGAAGTCTATTTTATGTAGGAGATATCAAATAAGGGTCATTTATTAATGAAGTCCATCAAACACATACATTTTTAGCTACCCTTCTTTGGTCTGATGCTTTTTAGGAATTAGGCATCATTTATGAATGAACCCTAGTTATTGAAACATATTTTTGAGTTGATTCTTTGAATAAATTTAACAAATTTTTCAATTTCTGACAGAAGTCTTTAGGAGACTCCTGTGCCCAATCCTTGCTCTGCTGCCTCACATTCTTATCAACAAAGTGAGCAACATTCTAACAGTTCGTTGAGCAATAATGAAATTTATTTAATTCCAGTTGGAATAATTTTCTTGCTTTTTTCCATTTCTTATTTTCGAAGGTTAGACGTAATCTGTTTACAGTCCAAAAGCTCTTTCATCTATGTTTAGATAAAAAATATTTTGCATGAAATTCCATTAAGAGTGTAAGGAAGTTCTGAGAATATTTCGAAAGACTTTTAAGTAACGTGATTTGGGCATAAAATATAGGAAATGTGTTCTGTTAAGTCTCTCGTGATTATTTTTAAGGCATGATTAGAACATTTTAAAAGCTTGAAAGGTTAAAGGCAAGATAATTGTTTTGAATTTTTTAAGAGGCAATGAATATGTTTTAGGATCTGATTTATGACAAAAATTCAGTGAACTGCTTAGTATTTGAGTAACAAAAATCTTGAGGACGGTTTCTAAAACTCCAAACGGCACCGCATTGTTTAAAGAACTGAGTTATCTATTACCTATGCAATTTTTGTGTATGGACACATCCACAAGCTTTCAATTCCTCAAAATCATTCACAGAAACCTTCAATCGACCATATTCAATTACTATAACTTCTAATGTAATAAAAAGACCACATAAAATTTGAACAAACATGACTGTAACCGACTAAATGATCCAGCAAAAAAAAAGATAGAAAGATTTCAAATTTCACCGCCCATTAGAGTTCAACGATATTTCCTTTCTTCTTCTTCATATTGTTTATTACATGAATAAAAACTTTCATATATGATCCAAAATGATATAAAATGGAAAATAAAGGACAAAGAAGAAAGCATAGAGCAGGAGAAAGTGTGTAAAAGAACTAAAAGTAGAAAAACAAATTTATTTTTATTGGCGCTAAGGAATCCATTTTTCGAAAAAAGGAAATAAATGAAAATTTGCTTATATTTGCACAACATAATAGAGATATCTGGTTTGTTCATACGCACATTTATATACCGTAAATGTTAAGATGTAAAAACGAATGAAAAGTAAATCAATTTGGATGAAAAATTTAGTAAAGGAAATGTGAGGAAATTAAGGGAAGCAGAAAAGTTTCATGACGCCGACGTCAGGGTATATGGAGGTAAAACAAACTTTCTTTTTCTGAGTTGTAATCAATTTCCCTTCTCATCGTCTTACTCAATGTCTTTCATCTAAACCAGTATATATGTGAATTATCTTGATTTGTTTGTTTTCCTTAAACGTAAAGGCAAAATTGGAGAAAAATAAAATTTCACACTCTGTATTGCTATTGATGAGTGTATAAAGGAACGTGCATGAGGTAAAAGGAAGATAATATTCAGCACAAATCAAATGATTCGGAAATTGAGACATAAAAATTCAGAAATAACGAGACATGCAACCAAATCCTGTATGTTATAGAGGAAAAATATAATCAGGAGAATCAGCTAAATACTAAAAAGAAGAGGATGTAATCGTTACACGTTCAAACCATGTGTGGCACATGTTGCCGTCATATCACTTAATAGATCCCTATTTCACATACAATTAAATTGCTACACGCGTGAATGACATTGTCGATGAGCGGATGATGGCAAAAGCTTCTTTTGAGTTGTGACGAGTAATGAACGGAATTGAATGGATATTACACAGTTCAAATGCCATGACATGATTTAAGAGGATGAATTTTTTGTCATGTTAAGGGATTGATTGGGTTTAAAGATTAATCGGAGCTTCTCTGGTTGTTTTCTTTTGGACTTAATTACTCTTTGATGATTATTGGATTAGAAATTATGCTGCACATAAACTACATGCGACTTAACTTTGAGTCGGTCAAGATTAAGATGCTTTTTTGTCTGAAAAGCTTAATCACTGACTACGCAGTGCTGAGTACAAAGCTTGATCGAAACATCGTGAATTGTTTTTTAGCATTTTTTGCGAATTTCCCACTTTATAGACAACATTTAACTATGGGAATCCTGTGCCGATCGCGAGTTTATAAATAAACTGATTATTGTCACAAAATTGAATGTAAATCTTCAAGGTATGACGGTATTTCCTTTATCCTCTCAGATTTAGACAAGATTCAATGACATAAGCCTTGAAAAACTCAATTTGCTTCTAGATCTGACATTAATCTCAACTCTCAATCGACAACGATAAATGTATCAGTTCTAATCCAATTATAAAGCCTTGAAAAGTTCATATCGATATTTCAATTAAAATATTCTCAGATTTTCATATCTATACATCCATACCTTCATAATTTAAACAAATTGCTAACAAAGGAAAACTTTATCATAAATAACATTCATGTCTTAAACACACATCTATGCATACAGCATTCTTTTCTTGGTAACAATAAGCTTCTTTACATCTTTCCTCCATCTCATCTCATCCATTTCACAAAAAAAATGAGCGAGAAAATTAATAAATGAAAAGAAAAAAAATTTCTTAATGTTGCTAAATCACCTGAAGCTTACTTTATTAAATGCATGAATGTAAGGAACACGGTGTGTGTAAAGAAAAGAAGAAAAAAGTCGCATTGTCATTACTAAAATTTTCACTAACTTTCGCTTCCTTGACACCTCTGACTTGCTTATTTTCCACATCATGCTGTATACAGCAACAATGAGCAAGAAGAAAAATGAGTTGAAAGCTCAGAAAAATCTCTTCCTTATTTTTTATCTACTGCCATTACAGCCTCTTCCTGCCGTTTAATTTTATCGTTTGTAAAAAAAAGATGAAAATTTTTCGCTCTTTTTACGTTCGTATGGCAAATGGAAAGAGCATAAAGTTAAAATTACACATTTTTTTAAGCTATACGCATTTGAATGAATTGCTTGAAGGGATTTTTCCTTGTCGCTCTATGAACTGTCTGTATTCAACATAAGAAACGATATTAGGCTTAAAAAATGACATAGAAAATATTTCTGTCATTGCTATGCTTCTGATAATTGTCTAATAAATTCATTTAATGAAAATACCTATAAATGTATGTGTACGGCATCAAATGACAAACAGTTTTGTGTGTAATTTGAATAAAGGAGACATTTTTAAACATATGAGAAATCTCTTCAGTTCAGATTGAATGTTTCAATTTGTTTTCGTCGCTTCTTTTGTAATTGGACACTCTCTTTGTGGTTCATTTGGTTTTTGGGAATTTTGGGGGATGGGGATGTCATATGAGCTGCTACATAATGTACTATATGTTATTGAACTTTGTTCGAAAAAGCTGCTTTAAATTGTAAAATCTTAGAAAATTATTTAAAATGTCTTAATTCTCAGTATCCACGCCTTGATGGCACTTATACGCCTACATCAATTACAAAAATAGGAAAATTTATATCTTCAATATAGAGCTTATATTCCCATACCCGTTCACAAAAAGTTCAAGTATTTAAAGTCATCTTAGAATAATTTTTTTCGTGTCGTGTGAAGAAAAATAAATATTTGACAAAAACGACTCCGAAAGATAAAGATTTTAATTTGTCATTCATCTCAATTTCGAGAAAAGCATCTGTGCTTATACATAAGACACACGATTTTTGTTGGATGCCGCAAGATGCTGCTATATTTTTATGAAAAAAGCACAATTTTATACTTTTTATACTTTTAGAAATTGAGGAAGCATTATTTTTTAATATTTCACTTCTTTCTCGTTCGCATTAAGGAGTGTTAAATATTTTTAGATGCTTCTCACATTTCATCTCCTCTATCTTCTGCCTTCTTATCAGATTTCATCATAAAAATTTTTGTTTTCAAAATGAGAACATCAAAGAGATGAAAAATTGAGTGAGGATGAAAATATTTCAAGTTTTTTAGATTCCTTAAAAAATATAAATGTCAAATAAAAAGCAGTGTCATTTGGGAAGTTAGGAATGAAACAGGGGAAAATAGATGAATTTTTAAAAAATCATAAAAAAGTCACAAAAAGCTCTCCGCTTTCTTGAAGGAATTTTATACATTTTTGAATTGGACTTAAAAGAAATAATCCAGCATAGGGTCAGATCTAAGGTAAAATTTGAACCAACGGCAGATAGTGCAGCTTTAGATGTGTTTTTGGCAAATTACAGAAAGCTCTTTAAAAGAAAATATGTCAGTCCAAAACCTGCTCTTTCAACACAAAATGTTCATCATATCTTGTTCCTTCATCAATCAACAATAAATTTAAAAAATTCCCTTCAAACAACTCTCAAATGATACCCACATCCTCCAAGAGAAGATTCAATCAATTTTCAATTTACATTCCCAAGAACAAAACCTTTACATTTCTCATTTCCTAAATGTTTTATGAATTAACCTTTTTTTAAAAACTTCCGGAAGAAACGTCAATTTAAATTTATCCCAAGGGAAGCTGTCAAAAAGGAAAAGGAAGAAAAGCGTAGGAAAGCTTTAAAGAAATTTATCTACATTCGCTTGCATCTTCAATATTAAATGTGAGAAAGAAATCTACATCTGTACGAAATGTTACGACTTTTATATTAGCATATCTCCTCACATACCTGCCTTTTGTTTCTTATTGTGGAGCATATGTGGGAGAGAAGTGTATAAACGCGATATTATGTTGGGGAAGAAAGGTAGTTTTGTGCACCATTAAATTTTATGACGCAGCAAGCAAAAGAAACCTAAACTTATGATTTAATCTTAACATTCTCTTACCTTAATGTTCTCAATTCAGATGGTGATAGTTGCGTTTCATCAATATCTTGAATCAGTCCCAATTCTCTCGCACGCTTTTCCGCCTTTGCTGTACGAATTGGTATTCGACTAATGGGAGATTTTGATGGTGATTTTGATCTGAAATTAAATGAAAAGAAAAATCCAATTTAAAAATTCATCTTTTTTTGCCCCTCATTACATTTTATGGATGTGGATCATCCCCATTTGCGTTTGAATGTTCATGTGTGGGTTTTGTAATTTAATTAATATCGTTTCAAGATTATGAATTTTCATTAGGACGAATTAAAAAGGAAATAATTTTTTATGGACTACTGCCAGTGTAGAAAGCTGTAAAAATAAGTTGAACTTGATTTTTTGATTTCTTCTTTAAAACATCAATTTTGTAGCATCATTTATAAACTAAAGAGCATAGTCTTAGCTAATCAGTTCAATAGAATAGGTTCAAATCTTACAAATAATTTTAAATCTATATTATCGATCATAAAGATTCTAGAAATATCTATTAAATTGAGAAATCTCTAGAAAACTGTATAAATTACAGTAACTCATTGAACAATAGACTTAGAGCAACCCTAGAGCCTTGACATACATTTTCAACAAACAATAACAATTAAAAATTGTTATAACATAATTTTCAACTAAGCACAATCAACATCATTAGCATTAATTTATTCAAAACAGTAATGATTGGATGTAAGCGAGAATATTCACCGTGATTTTCTTGGGATGAATAAAAAAAATAAACGCGGTAGCTAAGAGCAGCAATAAATACATTTAAATTAGGAAATGGATAACGTCTATAATCTTCGAAAGATGAGGAGTCAAAAACAAAACAACAAGAAGAAGTTGCTGCAGGCATTAGCTATGGTACATGATTTAAATTTGAATTAATGAGGGTTAGAGCTTAAATTAAATGGAATGATTCAATAACAGTAATAATGGAAGTGAAAAAGGCAAAGTTTGAACAAACAAAGATAATAAGTCTCTATGATGGATGAAATTAAGCATCAGATTGGAAGAAACTTTGCTATATGATCTGATTCTTACATGCCAAGTCTAAGTTTATAACAAATTTCTGTTTTCACGGAAACTTTAAAGTTGAGTTGAATTAGGAGTAAGAAGAGAATTTTAAGTGCATTAGATTTAACAAGGAGCAATCAGCAGAGAAATGAACTCAACTTCCCTATCAAGATGAAAAGTTGCACTTCTGAGAAATTAAGTTAAAGTTTATTTGCTCAATGCAAGAAATGTTGACCTTATTTTCATAATATTTAGCGTCAGCGATTTACAAACTGAATTGCATGCTGTTGTAAAGTTATGGCGCTTCTGTTTGGTACTAAAATTTCATTAACTTAATATTTCAATAAAACTTTAAACAAACATGACTTTTGGCAATAAATTGAAGCCAAACCTTAAAGAATCAAAATTACAAAAGTATTCGATAAGAATCTAAACAAATTTTTATAGTTTCTATATCCATAAAAATTTTCATGTCAAAGATTCATATCAAAGCCACAAAAATCACTTCCAATGCTAGAACATTTTTTGCATATCAGCGATTCCATTTAAATTCAATATATCTACAATAAAAATTCAATTTTAGAATCAAGATCAGCACTTTTAAGTCAGACCAATAGTCAAAACATTTCATTTAAATGCACATAAACACCCTTCAACAGAAAAGAAAAGCAGAAGAAGGAAACCTGTTCCTTAGCAAAATTTTCAATTGTTCGTAAGTTTTGAAAACGATAAGAGAGAGTAATACATGCAATCTTAATGAAGCTGGGTCATTATCTGTGTTTGAGACCCGTCAAGCCATTCCTACAGAAATTGATTCATTAGTGTTTTTTGACCTTAAGGTCCTAAGTACTATTTAATGTACTCAACATAGACATCTTCAGAAATATCTTTAAAAATTTCAATTTACTTCATTAAGTACAAATTCAACATAAATAAAACCATAGAACGTGGATGCATAAGAAATGAAATTTTCGTGTCTAACCTGACACAGCGAGAACCTTTCTTTAGCATAAAGATAGAGAAAGTAAGAAAAAATTTGTATATTGAAGGTGAGAAAGGAATTTTTCAATAATGGCTGTAAAAGAAACCTTTCCTCACTATGCATCGATAACAAGCTATTACGTGAGAAATTTGGCATCTGCTCACTGAGATGGAATGAAGTACGAGTTAAAATTTATTCCAGAAAACAATGGCTGTTGGAATCAACAACAGCAGCAATGAAAAGGCATCTAACAGCATTGGCAGTATAGAATCTCTCTTTCACATCTTTATTGGGGATTAAATGAGCAAAATGCTGTCACGATCCTTTTTATTCAATCGAATAAAATGAGATTTTTTTGACACATTTGTTGATGTCATCAAAATATATGCTCATAATGCAAAAGATACGAATGTACACAAAAACCAAACCCATCCTATTTTTGGTGCGAAGATAATTCCAATAATTTAATCAAAAAATATTTGACAAGTTAATTTAATGTCAGTGACAGGAGACAATAAAGACCAGAAGAATGTAGGTGGATGAATAAAACAAACATGTGAAGCTGATTAAAGCAACAACATTTAATTATTAGTTGCCCTATATTTTACTTCCTTTTCTGACATATCCTTTTTCTATTTTTCTTTTGCTCTTTTGTTGTTATCACATTGTTTACATGCTGTGTCCCTTAAGGCAAGATTTTTCATAGATTTTTATAGAGCAGGTGATGTAAGCGAGTATGCTGAGTATTTTTTATTGTTGATGGAAACATTCTTGAAATTTTTAATGGCATTTTTTAAGAATTTTATTTTTAAAAAGCTCAGAATTTATTCTTGGTTCCTTTGGACTAGAATTGTGCTTTGTAAACATTTAATATAAGAATATCTAGGTTGTAATCCAACCAAATGTTATGCAATATTTAAAGAGTAACCTTTAAATTCCTCTTTAAGATAAAAATAACTTTTGCTAGCAATTTTCTCAAGAACTTGTCATCCTCAACAAAATTCCTCATATTCATCCCAGTTGATTACATGAAAGGTGTCTCCAGGTGAAATCAACAAATTTCTTCCCACAAAATTCCTACCAATAACAAAGGAAACATCACGATTTTCTTCCAAGGACTTCTTCCCCTATCCTTTATCTCCGTCATCATCAACGTAACATGCACACATATATTTTCCTTCATTGCTAATTCTGTTAACAAAGTCACGTTTATTATCCATTCATGTCAATACATAAGTAGCAATAGTACTCATTCCGTTCTATTTCGAATACACAAATATAAGACGGTGATGACGATGACGTTGTGATGATGATGGGGGTCGATCACAAATAACAAGTTTTTATATATTTATATATACAATATTAAAGCTCATTGACATTTCAGAACATAAAAGTTTTTCGTCTTTTGTACATGTTCAACATTGAAAATTCAGCTCTTGTAAGATTTCAGGATGCATGTTCATACTCCTTGAAATTATAAAACACAATTGTTTATGATATTCGAGGATGTAGAGCAAATGTTGACTTCGTGATACTTTTATGATATTTCGAAATGTATTTTGTTAAACATTTATTGAACGTTATGGATACGTGGATGTATGATAAGTGAAAATTATAAAAGAATGGAATAAAAAGTTTGACTTTCGATTTCTGTAACACAAAATTTTTATAGCATTTTGATACCCTTGAAATCGAATTAAGTGCTTGTTAAATTTGAACAAAATTGTGTGAGATTATTTTATGATATTTTGATACTCCTTGAAATTTTAGAAATCATGGCATGTCCTCAAAAAAATTAAGTTGCAAAACTTAAACCCGAAGTTATTTAAAAATTAAAATCTTAACCTCAAAATGTTTGCTTCTTATTCTTTAACCTTTTATTTCAGATACTACAATCTCAATTTCATTTACGGCTGTGTTAATACTCAGCCTCGCAGTGGTTGATAGTATAAAAACTTAAAATTTAAACGATTAGACATCATAGGGGCCGTTAACTTATGACGTCCAGGGGGGGGGGGGGGGGGGGGGGGGTCAGCAAGAAAAAAACAATAGAAATTCCAGAAAATCCATTGTTCTTTTTTGAAAAATGACCGTTAATTTCGGACGTCATAACTGAACGACCCCATAGCTGAATGACCCATAGCAAAAAAATTGAATTCTTCCTAAAATCTTAATATGATTTCTTCCAAACAATCAAACACAAAAAAAAAATCTATCCTAAAGTAAAATAGAAACTAAATTGAAAATTGCATTGAAACATAAAAAGATTTTTATGTCCATAGCTTTCTATACTTGGAAAGAGCATCTCGTAAAAAAGCAAAAGAAAATTGTTGAATCATTTTGATGGATAAACTTTGCTTTCGTTTCCAACTTTATTCACCATTCATTCATCTATGCGATGCGCTTGCTGAATTTTGAACAGCTCTTCGCCTCCTCACTGTGTTACAGAATGAACAAGATACCGAAAAAAAAATTTACTGTTGTTGTTTGTTCTTACTTCCTTTCACTGCATAATACGCCAAAAAAAGTTTGTATTGTATAATAACAAGAGATTCACTCTACCTACATTACATCGCGAAATTCTATCGTCTGGTGATGAATACTTATTAAGTCTAGGACATAGAAAAGTGTAAAGATGAGCAGTACGATGTAATGATAATGGCGTCAGCCATGAAACTATGATGCATGCTTTAATGTGAACAATTTTTTTTTTTTGGCAAGTGATGAGAAACTTTACTAATTTGGAGAAGTTTGAGTTTGTTTCTTAGTGGACGTGCTGTAGACGAATAAATGAGAGCATCTGAGGGGTTTTGAAGACCATAATTTTTGGAAGTTACGTAGGTGGAATTTATATTATTTCAGGAAGTTTTTAATGGATGATGTATTAAAGGTTGTTGATTAGACCAAAATCTTGTAGTAAATTACATCCAGAGGATCTTGATTCATCCACATTAAAGTAACGAAACTTCAGTTCACACTCCCTGACTTTTCATCACATATTTTATATCTTACATCATCATTATCCTAACAACCCTTTTTGTCCCACATACCTCTCATCTCAATATAACTCGTATTAATCTAGATTCATACAAAATTTATGAATAACAAAAAAAAA